AGGAGTTTGATCCTCCGGCACATCTCAAGACCACTTTATCACTGAATTGAGTGAACAAGAATCGCTTGTTCCACCGACGGTGCTGAACCTGGATTAAAACCCCACGTCATACAAGTCGGATAAGTCAGATTGGCCGCGGGAAGGTCGCTCAATCGAAAAACAGAGAGAAGACAGATGGCTAAAATCTTCTAAAGTATTCCCTTTTTTGCTTCATTTTTACATCAGCCTACCTTTGTTTCAGCGACAACAGTTGTTACGAAGAATTTTTCCATTCAAACATGCAAAAGAAATCAGTCAAAAACCATCTTTTTTTTTTGCCCGTCCGATAGTCGCAATGTCTGTCACACATTTCTCATTATCTTCTTGGCCGGTAAATTTTTGTACAACAGTTTCGTGAGATGTAAATTCTTACCAGGCAATCGGAAACGCAGAACGGGATCAAACAGCAACCAGCCCAACAACTGCAAAGTAAATACAAAGAGTCATGAAGATGGCCTGCTTTATATACGAAGTATTTGAATGTGATAATAATAATGAAAACCCAGGCTGAAAAGCACCAGGTTTGGCGGTATGATCATGCGTTTTTGCATTAAAGTCAGAGATCGCTAATAGCAGGAATGACCTAACACCTGGGCTCATATTGGCCATGCCTTGGCCTCCTCCGGCACACAGCAGAAAGGGGGTCGGCTGGGATGAAGGTGTTGCATTGTAGGGCCGCATGGACCTCCAGGTACATGATTATCAGTTTTTTGCACGAAGCCCAATCGTTTTTCTGGTAGATGTTCGCTCTTCGAGAAAATGCAAATCTCAAGTTCATTGAAAGTGGAAATGTTGCTGAAGCGGTCGTTCGTTAAAAAATCCAAATATGTAAAAGAGTTCACTTACATATTGGAAGAGGATGAAGGCGGTTATTCGCTGCAAAATGCACTCGTTCTGATTTTTCGGTAAAGATGAGTATTTCTCATGCTCACCTGCAGTGAATTTCCCTTCCAAGCAGAATTAAGACCACGTTTGAAAGCAGCGAAGTTTTAGCCCCACATCTTATCCGGTAAGCGAAATAGCCACTTCGCTAAAAATATCTTTGGAGTGCCCTAAGTCGTGGCGCAAGTGCAAATCGGAATTCAATTTAGACATACAATTTCCCATATGGGCGATAAACAAAAAGGCAAAATTTCAGCCACTGTTTTAATACAAGTTTTCAGGTTAACATAGTACCAAGTTGCAAACTCTGACGTAATCGTACGCGCTACACAAACGTGCGCGACAGCTAAATTTGAAAACTTCAGCTCGCAAATGCACTGAGAATATCCCTGCAAAGTTTCAGCTTTGTACCTTGCCTAGTCCGCGCAATCATTTCCGGCCAAAAAAATCTGCATATTTTTTCGGAAGTTTTTACGCGGGATTTAGGCGCGTATGAGCGAAATTTTTAAAACGGGAGATGACACACTAGGTGAGAACGTATACCCAAAACTTCAGCCTTCCAGCTTTCCTGGTTGCTGAGATGAAAGTAGGTGACAAAGTTCACTCGCTTCCGGATGACCCCCCGATAATACGCGTTTCTGCTGGCTGTAGCAGCGCTATGGCGTTGCTATAACGCTGCACAACAAAAACGCATAATAACGATAATAATAACAATGAAAATAATCACAGCAATAATAAT